TGGCAAACATTTTTTCCCACATTGTGGGTTGTCTCTCCACTCTGTTGCTTATTTCTCTTGCTGTGCAAAAGCTTTTTAATGACATGAAATTCCAGTTGTTGATTCTTTACGACAGTTCCTATGCAGAGTTTTATTCATAAAGTCTTTGCCTACACCAACGTCTTCAAACATTTTACCAATTCTATCTTCCAGCAGATTTAAAATTTCTGTTTTAATATTTAGATCTTTGATCCATTTCAAATTTAGTTTAGTGCATGGTGAAAGATATGGGCCCATTTTTAATCTTGGCATGCGCAGAGCCAGTTTTTCCGGCACCACTTATTAAAGACGCTAGCCTTCTTCCAGTGAATGTGTTTGGCACTGTTGTCAAAGATAGGGTGACTCAGTGTGTCTGGAGTTGTTCCTGCATTTTCTGTTTCATTGAGCCTCGGGTCTATTTTATTTTTTGCCACTACCACTGTTTTTGTTTTCATTGGTACTGAAATCAAACTCAGGACCTTAGGCAGACACTGTACTGTTGAGCTATATCCGTGGCCCTAGTACCATGCTGTTTTTTTTTGTTGTTGTTGTTTTGTTTTGTTTTGTTTTTCTCCGGTACCGGGAACCGAACTCACGACCTTGCGCTTGCCAGGCAGGCGCTTTGCTGCTGAGCTAAATCCCCAGCCCCCCATGCTGTTTTTATCACAGTAGCTGTATAGTATAATTTCAAGTCAGGGATTGGGATGCCCCCTGCCTTACCTTTGTTACTCAGAATTGCCTTTGCTACTCTAGGTCTCTTATGGTTCCAAATGAATTTAAGGATTGTTTTCTCTAACTCTGTGAGATATGCTGTGGGAATTTTAATCAGAACTGTATTAAATCTTATAACAGTTTTGAAAGTATAGCCATTTTCACTATATTGGTTCTTCCTACCCAAGAGCAAGGAATATCTTTCCATTTTCTGATATCCTCTTCAATCTCCTTTTTCAGAGTATTGTAATTTTCAATGTAGAAGCATTCTACCTCCTTTGACAGATTGATCCCTAGGTATTTCATTTTGTTGGATGCTATTGTAAAAGATGCTATTTCCCTAAATTTCTTTCTCAGTGGGTTTTTTTATTCATGTACAGGAAGGCTACTGATTTTTGAGTGTTGATTCTGTAGCCAGCTACACTACTGAATTTGCTTATCAAATCTAGCCATCTTTTAGTGGAGTTTTGAGGGGTCTTCTATATAGAGTCATGTCATCCACAAATAATAATAATTTAATTTCTTCCTTTCCCATTATTATTCCTTTTATTTCTTTTTGTCTAATTGCTCTGGCTAAGGTTTCCAGAACTATGTTGAATAAGTGGTAATAGTGGACATCCTTGTGTTGTTCCAGGTTTTAGAGTGGAAGCTTTCCATTTTTGTCCATTTAGTATGATGTTGGCTATTGGTTTATCGTAGATGGCTTTTATGAAATTGAGATAAAAGACTATCTATTCCAATTTTCTGTAGGGTTTTATTTTGAATGGGTGCTAGGCTTTGTCAAAAGCTTTTTCTGCATCTACTGAGATGATCATGTGGTTTTTTACCTTGGCAGGGTTAATATGGCCCATTTCATTTATTGATTTGCAGATACTGAACCATCCCTGTATCCTTTGGATGAATCCCATTTGGTCATGGTGTATGATCTTCTTAATGATTGGATGCATTCTGTTTGCCAGTATCTTAGTGAGGATTTTTGCATCTGTGTTTATTAGGGAGACTGGCCTATAGTTCTTTTTGGTTGGGTCCTTCTCTGGTTTTGGTATCAGAGTAATGCCTGCTTCCAGGAATGAATTTGGGAGTGTTGCCTCCCTTGCAATTTCACTGAAGAGTTCAAACAGTAGTGGTATTAGTTCCTCTCTAAATTTCTTGTAAAACTCAGCGGTGAATTCATCAGGGCTTGGGCTTTTCTTTGTTGGTAAGGTTTTTTTTGTAAGTTTTTAATTACATCTTTAATTTCATTGATTGATACTGGTTTATTTAGGATTTTAATATATTCTTGATTCAGCCTTGGTAATTCATCTGTATTTAGGAATCTGTCCATTTCTTCTGCATTTTCCATCTTATTAGAATACAAGTTCTCAAAGTAGGTACAGATGATCTTCTGGATTTCTGCAGGGTCCATTGTGATTTCACCCTATCCATTCCTAATTGCATAATTTGAGTCTTTTCTTTCCTTTTTTTGATAAGGTTGTCTAAGGGTTTGTCAACTTTACTTAATCTTTCAAAGAACCAACTTTTCAACTCATTGATTCTTTGTACTGTTTTCTTAGTCTCCAATGCATTAATTTCTGCTCTGATCTTTATAATGTCCTCCCTTAGTACAAGCTTTAGACTTTGCCTTTTCTTCTTTTCCTAGAAGTTTAAGGTTCAATATTAAGTTGTTTATTTGTGCTTGCTCTGTTTTCCTAATATGGGTACTCACTGATATAAATTTCCCTCTTAGGACTTTCACTGTGTCCCATAAGTTCCAGTATGTTGTACTGTCATTATCATTTCATTGGAGGAACTGTCTAACTTCTACTTTAATTTCATCCATGACCCACTGGTTATTCAGGAGGGTATTATTTAAGTTCCATGTATTTATCAATTTCTTGTGGTTTCTTTTGCCATTGATTTCCATTGTTTTGTGGTCTGACAATATGCATGGGATTTCAATTCCTATGCATTTACTGAAGCATGTTCTGTAAGCCAGTATGTGGTCTATTTTGGAGAACGTTCTGTGTGCAGCTGAGAAGAATGTGATTCTGATGTTGCGGGGTGGGACACCCTATGTAGACATCTACTAAGTTCATTTGTTCAAAAGTTTGGTTCAGTTCTAATATTTTATTATGGATTTTTTGTCTAGTTGATCTGTCTTTTTGTGACAGTGGGGCATTTAAATCCCCCAGTACAATTCTATTAGTGCTTATTTGATTTTTCATGTCTGGTAATACTTGTTCTATATAGTTGGGTGCACTGGTATTTGTTGCATGTTTATTTATAATTGTTATCTCTGGGGCTGGGGATTTAGCTCAGCGGCAAAAGCGCCTGCCTGGAAAGCGGAAGGTCGTGAGTTCGGTTCCAGGTACCGGAGAAAAACCAAAAAAAAAATAAAAAATAAAAAAAAAAAATTGTTATCTCTTCCTCTTAGATTGTTCCCTTTACAAGGATGTAGTGACCTCCTTTATCTCTCCTAATCAATCTTGGCTTGAAATTTACTTTGCAAACAGAATAGCTGCCCCTGTTTTTTTCTGGTTTCCTATTGCATACAGTATTATTTTCCATCCTTTGGACTTTCAGTCTATGAATTTCTTTTAGAATTAAATGTGTTTCTTGTATGCAACATATTGTTGGATACTGCTTCTTGATCCATTCTGCCAGTTTGTGTCTTTTGATTGGTGAATTGAGACCATTAACATTGATGGCTATAACTGATACACACTGATTTATCCTTGTCATGTTATTTTCCTGTTGTTGCCCCCCTTTTTTATTCTTCCTTCTTTCTTCCCTCTGTTTAATGGTTTGCCTTGCTTGGTGAATTCCTTCCACTGGGATTCATGGAGTTGTAGTAGATGTTATCTCTTTCTAGAATATCCTTCACAACTGTTTGGAGAGCTGGTTTAGTGGTCATAAATTTCCAAAGTTGTTCTTTGACATGGAAGTATCTTACTTCTCTGTCAATTTTGAAAGATAGTTTGGAAGGGTACATTAATTTGGGTTGGGGGCTGTTTTCCTTTAGAGCTTGAAATACTTCACTCCAAGCTCTCCTTGACTAAGGATTTATGCTGAAAAATCAGCTGTGATTCTGATGGGTTTTCCTTTGTAGGTGATTTGTTTCTTTTCCCTAAAAGCTTTCAATGTTCTATTCTTGTGTTGAATTTCTGGAATCTTGACTATGATATGACTGGCTATAGATCTTTTTTAACATGACTAATTGGATTTCTATACACCTCACCTTCTGTATGACAAATTCTTTTTCCCTACCAGAGAAGTTTTCTGCCATGATGTCTATGAACAGTTTTTATGTCATCTGTGCTATCTCCTGCTTTTTCATTTACTCCCATCAATTTGATGTCATTCTTCTTTGCATCATCTAGCAGCTGCTGGATTGATTTCTCATGGTCCCTGGCTGTTTTTAAGAAATATTTCCTTTCATGATCACTAATCACAAGTCTGTTTTCTATATCTGACATTCAGTCCTCACATTGGCTCATCTTGCTGTAGATACTTTAAGAGGAATTTTTAATCTCCTGGATATCTGTTTGAATCTGTTTAATGGATTCCATTTCTTTCCTAAGTTGGGCTTTTATGGTTTCCATCATTTTCTTAAGCTCTTCTACTTTTTATCTGTACGTGCTCTACAGTCACTACACATGGTTTTCATTGTGGTCACCATGTCTGCAGTTATTTGAGAAATTTTTCCTAATTTGATTTTTTCTAAAGCCTCCTTCAATTACTTTGTTGTTACCACTTCAGAGAGGCCACTTGAGTGGCTTTGGATTGTCCCACTTCACTGGCCCCTGCTTTGCCTTTGGTGAACTGCAAGTCTGGGGTTGCATCTTGTTTAAGCATCTTCTCATTTTCTTTTCTTCTTTTTTTTTTTTTTTTAGTTTAATTCCTGGACTGATGCTTATAAATTGCCTGTGGTGAATTACTTTACTGCTGGTATTTAAAACCCTTAAGAAATGAGTATTTTTCCAAGGTGTCTTCTAGGTGTAGTTGGTTTTTGGGTTTTGAGTCTGTTGCAAGATCCTACTTCTTCAGTTTGTTGGGAATGAGAAGTTGCTGCCTGCTTAGTGCAGCCCCTGGTTCTTTGGCACTGTACCACAGTGCCTTCCATGACCCTTAGTCACTCTCAGTCTTGGAACACCAGAAAGAACAGCTTGTTAAAATAATATGCCACTCCCAGCTAAAGTAGCACCCCAGCAACAACAGCATCAAACACAGCCTACAAATTGACAGACTGAGGTAACCACCACCTTTAACCACGTGAACCAGATTTGAGGTTATATAACCAAATCTTAAACAAACCAGAAAATTACATGCAGTATATAAGTCCTTTATATGTCAATTTTACCCTCAGGGGTTAAAATTTAAAAGGGATTAGGGAAAGAATAGAGAAGTAGGAAAGGAAGAGATTAGAAGTAAGGCTAGAGGACTAGGGGTTATCATGCTAACTTTGGGAAACTGGCGCAGAAGAAAGAAAGGGAAGAGAGAAGAAAGAAATAAAAGAACAGAACTATAACCACAAAGAGGCTAGAAACCACATCCACGCTCATATAAAAATAAGATCAAACAATGAATGAGAAAAACAAGTCTACTTCCAGGTTTGTCTCTGCTGTAAAAAAACATGTGGAGACAGAATCCAGATCTGTGTGGGCTCATCCCAGCAAGCCAGTACTAGCTTTATAGTGCAGTAGTGGATAATCTCAGCAAGCCTACACCTATACTCAGCAAGCCTACAGGAGTTCGGGCTGCATTCTGGCTGTGGGGACCAAGAACAGACCCATTCAGTCTGGAGCACTCAGTGCCCCTTCTGTGGGCTTCAACTCAGCTGGAAGCTGCTAGATGGACCCAGCAACTGTTCAGAGTTCTGAGCTCAGTTGATCCCTCTCCAAGATGGCTCCCAGCCAGTCATTCTCTTCCATGGGACAAGTGAGCCCTCAGCACTCACCCCTACCCAGTGCACCTCTCCATGTCTTCCACTCCCCTCCACCACTGCATCTCTCCATGGAGGCCTCTGGTAAAACCAGCAGTCCCCATGTCTCCGCAGTCCTGAACTGCTCCTCCTACACAGTGAGTCTCAACTAAGGGAGAGTGCTCTGCAAGCCACCTCCTTTGTCACTGAAGTTTTTCTCTGCACTCTCCCTGTGGACTTCAGTTCTCATCTCAGGTCCTTCCTGGGTCCAGGGGGCCCACTTCCCTCCTTCTTGTCTTCCTCAAGTCGCTGTATTTCAGTGTCTGGATGGCAGCTCTCAGGGAGGCTCTTTCTCTACTACTTACTACTCTGCCATCTTCCCAGAAGTCCTCCACAGTGCTTAATACTTGATCTCCCCCAATGGATTGTGAGCTGTTTGCAGAATAATATCTTCCTTATTCTAGGAGCTGCAGCATTAACATAGTACTGAAACATGGGCCTCTCAGCAAGCATTACTGACTGAATGAAATGGTTTGCTCTCTCATATGGCCCCACTCACCTGAGCACAGTCACTGGGTAGGAAGCTCATCGCAGTGGCCAGGCTGCCCTGGGACGCCAGAAAGCTGGCATACTGGGTGAGCCTGTAGGTTGTAGTAGGGCATGGGCTCACCCTACCAGAACCCTGCAGAAGCACCAAGCTCCTGTTCAGGACCACAACCTTCTCCATCAGGTCCTACACAGATGACAAGGTGAGGGCAGTCAGACTCTCTGAAGCACATCTTGATCCTAGGACCAGAAAATTCACCCAGGAATATCCTAAGACTGGTGGAGAGGAGGGCACCTGGCAAAGGCAGCTGGTGACAATATCTGAGCAGGACAGAGGAAAGCCAAGCGGCCTCACTCCTAAGCAGCTAACACTGGGCTCAAATGGGCACACTGGATCTTGGGTTCTTATACATCCCTGTCTCCTCTTTCTCTTTCTCTACCTTTTCTGTCAGCACATTAGCAGTCACAGACTCTCACACTATCTCACGTGTGACTTTTGTTTCCTCATGAGTATATGACCTCCACCTTCTCTGGTCACCCACAGAGCACCTGCTACAGCTTAGATTCACAGAACTTTTCTCAGAAGCTAATAGAAAAGCTAGGCTCACAACTACTCAAATATTGAATAAACTTATATAATTAAACCTGAAATGGGAAAAATTGACAAAGGTTAGTACCCAAGAATCTGCTGCTCAGTCTCTGCTGAGGGAAGGAGGTAATATTTGACCCTTGGGAAAAGATCCTGAATGTTGAGGGCCCTGTGCTCCTGCCTGATACCTTGGCTCCAGCCTGTGGCCAGAAGACTCATCTCTGGTATCTCTGCATCCCCACACCACTAACATCTCCCAAGAGGTTGGTATGGAAGGGCAGACCTATGAGAAGAGGTACCTGCAGAGCCACAGGGGATGAAGTCTGGTGGCATCTTTCCCAGCCCTCTACCAGCTGCTCCACATTCCCTGAGCACACATAACAGAGTCTGGCTTCGTTAGTTAGTGCCCTGCCGCCCTCCTGTTCCATGCGAGTTCCCAGCATGTCTGTAGAGAGATGCAGACTTCATTAGTGGCACTGCTTTCCTAAGCTGCTCCTTCTTTCCTTGTTTGGAAACAAGTGGGGGACCATGAACTATGGGACAAGTAGTAACAATGGTTTTAAAACACATTGAAGCTAACCTTGCACCAAGAACAGAGCTTCAAGGTGCTCAGGCTGCCCTTTGCCTCCGCCTTGAGTGTCCACAACTCCATGCTGGAGCCATGTCACTCCATCGCAAGGCCTGGGCCATACTTACCACAGAGCTCAGGGAATTTCTCTGGCTCTGAGTATGTCAGGAGCAAGGCCAGTGCCTCTCTCCAGTTCTTCAGGCTGCAGGTGCATACAAGTTTCTTCCAATTCTTTTGTACAACACAGGTGAGAAGCTGTAATGGGCCAAGAGGGAAGGAGGGCCTCAGCTATCTAACAATGCAGCAGGAGCCACTCACAGGGATGTGCTAAGAAAGTTGCTCATAAGCAGGCCTCTTGTTAGACCACTGAGCAGGGCCAGCAGGAAGAGGGGTGGTTAGAACAGAAAGAGGGAGACAGCAGATTAATACCAGTCCCAAGAAAGGGACTGTACCTACCAAGATCCAAGTGATCCCCTCCCTACTCCTCTGCAGGATGGGCAGTTACCGGGGAGATTTTGGTTCTCCTCTTGGCAAAGTAGCACTCCTGTGTCCGCTTCAGCAGATCTGTGCCCCCAGCCTGAGCCAGGATGACAGCATCAGCAAAGCGCTCTTCCTTCAGACATAGCTCCACAGCAAGGCCTAGTTCCCCCAACAGCAGGGCCTGGCTCAGGATTCCGTCTGTGTCTGTGGACAGAGGCAGCCCCTCTGCATTAGCCTGTACTCAAACCTTTGCTTTCTGTCCCTGCAGCCCTTCTGTCTCTGTATAACTCAGCCTGCCTTGCTCCAAACTAAACCCTCAAGTTTTATTCCTTGGCAATGAAATATAGAGGGTGTCCAGGGGTAATCAGTCCAGCAGTAACTCTCTAAAGGCAGGACTCAAGACAAGGAAGGCAACTCATGGTGAAATCGTGGGTACGATATGTGCTTTCTCAGTAAAGGCAGGGTCACATGGAAACACAGGATAGGAAAAAAGATTCTGGTAGAAAGCCTTCCATAGAAAGGACCCCTGGATGAAAATCTACAGCAAAAGAGAGCTTTAACTGGTATATACCCACCAGTATTTGAGATGGTAGGAGGCAGGCAGGAGACAAGATGGGACTGTCTCATGTCCCAGAACTCTGGGGTCACTGCTCCCAGGCAGTTTCTCTCACTTAGGGCCAACGAACCTTCTGTGATGGGGATCTCCCACGGAGTCATGTTCTGAGGGACAAGGTCATCAAAGAAGGCTGAAGATGCAGAGGCTTCCTCTGTGGAGTGTTTGGAGGCCTGTACAAGCAATGACAGATGAAACTATGTAGGAAATGACCCAGGATAGAGAAAGATAGCTTAGTGTCTGCCCACCACCACCTCAGCTCTACTATCCAGCTATTAATGGGTGAAACTAAAACAGTAACCAGGAAAGGTTTGGGAAAGGCCCCAGTTCATTCAGACAAACTTCACTATCTTGGCAGCACAGACCCCATGTCCCTCTCGGATCCCCAGGACAGCTGTGTTTTTCTTCTGAGCTCTTCTCTACACTCCCACAGTCCTCCCACAACCTGACCAGTCATTTCCCTTAATAGGTGGGAAATTATCCCAGTGTCACAGCAGCCCAGAAGCTTATAGAGTCTGCCTTACTGTGATTTCAAGAGAGTGAGGGGTTTAAAGCGTTGTGCAGAAGCTGAGCACTTATTGACAGGTATGCCAAGAGCAATGAGGCAGGCCCCATGCATGTCCCAGGTCAGGCTGCCTGTGCTCTCACCACACCTGGCTACAGAAGGCCTGTTGCCTACTGCTGTTGAGGGCATCTCCCTGGGGCTGAGAGCTCTCTGCTGACCCCACGTCACTCTTCAACTGCTTGGCCACCTGCAGGGAGACAATGATGAGCACCGCCCTCCCAGCAGAAGCTCAAATAAGCCTATGCTCTCTTCCCATGTCCACACCCTCCCCAACTACTAGGAAAAGGCCTAACTCTGGGAGCTAAAATGCTTATACACACATTAACTAGGTCCAGAAGAGATGGTTTCAAGAGGATTCTCTTATTCTCTACAGCAAGTCCATGAGTTAGATCTGAAAAGCAGCTTACCTTCTTCTGAAGCTCCTCTTTATCGTACCCTAGGAGCTTCAGGAGTTTTATTCTGGAGTCTTGCTCTAGAGTCACCTAAGGAACCACAGAATACAGAAAAGTCTCCATTAAATGACTGTAAATGACCCTCTCCTGCACCAAGCTGGACTTCTGTACTGGTATACCTCACATATAGACCTGGGTGCTATAAAACATGTCCTCGGTGGGCAATTTAGCAAGACCCTGTCTCAAAATAAAAGGTTAAAAAGGGGCTGGGGATGTAGCTCAGTGCAGAAGCCCTAGATTCAATCCACAGTACTGAAACACAAAACAAAACAAAATACCAGTGCAATCAGAGGGGCAGTGCCACTTCTCCATTCTGATGTATTGGTGGCCAATGGGCAGTCTTCATATAATATCCTTTGCCCTTTACACATGCAAACTGGAACTTCAATTGACTATCTTGCTTTTAGCCCAACCTGGTAAGAGTAAAATGTCAGCTGTTTCACAGCAACACTGCTTGCGATTAGTAGGCTGCACCTGGCCTGGAACTACATAAACTATAACTGATGTGGACGTCATGCTCAGGGTTTTACTGGTTGCAATGACTTTTGTTACTGGACATATGTCCTCTGCAGGGACTCTGGAAGCTATGCTCTTAGAGCTGATACAGCAATATTGGCTCTTGTGGGCAACCAGCTTCTAAACCAGAGCACCTCACACACCTGCCCAATAGCCATCTCATCTCCCTGCATCCTAGCTCACATCTGGGAAGCTGAAGAAGTGAACTCTGAATTGCTGCACTGACCACTCACTGAAAGGGCTGCCTGACACTGTCCTATTGACAAGCTGTGGTCCCTGCCCCATAACTCCTAAAGAGATGGGGGTCAAGTGCAGTCTGCAATAGTCTTGTGAGTCTAAACATAGCTGAGAAGATGCATATTAGAAGCTGCACAGAGTAAATGAAGTCAGCTTCCCACTCAGTGAAAATAATGAGAACCAAGAAGTCCTGACACTTCCATCCAATCCAGATGAGCTGGCCTGGGTACTTTATTCCATGTTGAAGCATGACTTCTGACTATATTCTTTCACAGTCTCCTTGGACGCCTTCCTCCTCCAAGGCTCTTCCCTTGGAAATGCCCCTCCACACATAGCCTCAGAAACTGATGCTGGACAGCTCCTAGACGGCTCTGAGCTCAGGCTCCCCTGTGTCCTAGAGGCATGGCCACCTCCACTGTCCTCCTGACCACTCCTCCTACCCTCCTTCCCACCCTGCCACTCCTGGGATCTGTATCTCTCGCATGCCAAAAGGATCGTTTTTTATTCTTCTTCCTACGTCTTGCTCAAATCCTTTTCTCTCTCCCAGAGAAAAACCTGCCTAAAGCTTTACTATTTCTGAAACACAGACCAGGTCCCTCTCAGAACCTGAGACAGGTCCTGTCCTTTCTGCATTCTTCTCTATAATCCCAGAGGGCTGGACAGTCCTCCCACCCCCTAATCAGTCAGCTACTTCCCTTTCTCCCTGCAGAGGTCTCATTTGTTCATTTCCTCTGACACACAGAGCACTCCTGGTGTCACAAGCGGCTCAGAATCAAGGCTGGGCCTCCAGAGTGGGGTGGCCCCGCACCCTGGGACCACACACAACTTGCCTTGGGTTGCCTGAAACAAACTGAAAGCCTTCTTGCAGTGACATGCCTCTTCAGCTAAGCTTTGCTTCTTTCCTCTTCTCTTCCCTCCCTGTCTTCTTCCTCCCCATCACCTTACCTGCCCTTTGGCAGATACAGTGAAAGGCCTCAACATGGCTCTGAAAAGGACCCAGGACATCAGCCACAGCAGCAAGAAGGAAAGCATCTCTTGTTCTCCTCGTGCTCACAGGCCTCTGAGCCTCTGGTCAGAGGGTACAAAGAAGACCCAAAGGAAGCTAGAGCCTCTATAATCTGGGTCACAGTGTGACTGTGCATCTCCTGAAGGTGACAAGGTTGGAGTTCTGGCCTTTAGGGAAACACTGGTAAGCAGTCAGCCTGTAAACATCCTACCTTCAGAAACTGCCAGAGCATCTTTTCGCTTGCCAGTGAAGCTCGCTGGCTCCGGTTCTGACAAAAATTCAGAAGATTTCCTGACCCCAAGGCCTCCTGCAGCTCAGCTGATCGTGTCAGGAATTCAAACTCTGTGGTGACTTGGCTGATGAAGACAAGGTGGGGGCAAGGCTGGGGCACATGCTGAGCTGGGGTGCTGGCAAGCCCAAAGGTAACCAGCTTCCCCCCAAACTGCCAAGGAAAAGTAAAAAGGGAGAAGGGTAAAGGTTACAGCTTCAGGCCAAAAGCTAACAGTAAGTCAGGATCACAAGGAAGCTACCTACAGGAAATCAATAAATAGAGAGCTGAGGAATGGAATAGAGTCAAAGACTGAGTAGAGAATGTGCCCCATACCAAACTCACTTCGGCACTCCTAGTAGCATCACCTGCCAGCGTCACCACACGGCACTTGTCTCCTTCTCTCCCATGCCGGTACCCCCATTCTCCTTGGCGCTCGGCCCGAACACCCCAGCATTGTCACAAGCTGCACTCACTCCAGCCAAGCAAATACTCTGTTCAGTGGGTCAGTGCTGGTTCAGGGTCTCTTACATCTTCAAGGTCCTTCCCATCCCATTCCCACTGCCAACACACCTACATTACTGGAGGAGTTTACCAGCCTTCAATTTCCTGGGTTTGTTTTTTTTTTTCCTTTGCCTACTCCAACCCACTGCTTGCACCACCCAGTCGTTACTCAGGATCTTTGAAAGGATTCACAAGCTTCAGGAGAGAGCTTACATTCTTCTACCTAATAACCCTAAATGCACAAAACCCCACAAATTCGGCCAAGTCTGTCTTTCCCTGCACTTCTTTCTCCCTGCTCATTTATGTAATTGTTCGACACCCCTAAAATGCCCAATCATTCCTGCCTCTGTGCCTTGACCCACACCCACACCCACACCTGCGGTGCCCTTCTGATACTTTATGAAAGCACCTAGCATGAAGGAGAAGCCTGAACCAGGTCCTTTCTCCAGCAGATGTCAGCCATAGGAGCACATTTACCTCCAGAGAGACCGCCAGGCCACCAGGCGCACCCCAGAGGATAAGATCACAAAGTCTAGGAGGGTGGGGAAACGAGCATTAGGATTTTTTAGATCTTCAGGCCAGTCCAATGTGTAGCCCAGGTGCTCGCTTCGGCAGCACATACACAAACGTGTAGCCCAGGCTGACAGCTACTGCTCTATTATTTCCTTTCCTAAGACTCACCTCTCCTTAATGAAATTCAGTCAGAATTACTTCACCTCTGGACTCCTACAGCACAGAATCCATAGAACTGTCTTAGTACTTCACAAGACCACCTCAACATCTGATTTGTAAGGACAATTTTACAAAGTGCTCACATCTCATCTGAGGCTTGCGACAATTCACTACTGAAGCTAGGCAGATATTACTATCCTCATTTTATGATAATGTCTTGGTTACTTTTCTCTCATTGCTGGGCATGTCCTCTACACCATAGGACACAGAACTGCTGAGTTACGTAGTTAAACTTCTAAACTTCTCAAATTGACACAAAGTATCAACCACTGCAGATGAGAACACCAAGCAGGGCAGGGTGGTGCATGCCTATGATCCCAACACTCGGATGGCTGACGCAGGAGGCTCCTTGCAGGTTCCAGACCAGGCCAGCCTGGACTGCATATCAACACTCTGTCTCACAAAGACAGATAAGAACATCAAAGTCCTGAGGCACTAAAGGTTTTGCTCAAGGTTAGCCTGCTCATAAATGACACAGCTGTGATAAGAAATTAGCCTCTTGACCTCAGGGTTCTTCATCACACTACCCTCCTCCTCTTTCTCTCTTAACCTCACTGCTCTTGTGTGCATTAGCCTTACCTTCCTAAAGAAACTGTGGACTCTGAAGCAAGAACCTCTACTTTTATGCATCTGTTTTCAATTCAAACCTAATATTTAAAGCACTGTATTAGAGCAGTAATGGCAAACCTTTTAGAGCTTTCATCGATAGCAACAGCTGACTGCGGCACACATGCCAAAGGTTCGCCACCACTGTACTAGAGGCTTCAGGCCTCAGACCAGCCCCAAAGGTATCATCTGAGAACTTGTTAGAAATCAGAATCTTGAGCCCTACCCCAGACCAAATGAACCAGAATCTGAATTTTGATACAATCTTGTGATTTGTATGTACATTCAAGTTTGAAAGGCAGTATTTTAAGGATATGGTACCTATCCTTACAGAGCTTATTACATAGTAAGGTCCAGATATGTGTATAAATAGAGTACAGACAGAACATACCATTACAGGAATATAAATCTGTGGATTACAGAGGAAGATTAATTTTGATAGGATTAAAGTCAGGGATCATGGAGGTGATGATATGTATGTGGGAGGCCCTAAAAGCCACAGTAGGATTCAGTGAGCTGGGAAGGTAAGGTACAAGCAGAAGCAAGACAGTGGAAGAGCTATTAGGGGAATGAAAGGAGTCATGTGTAACTGGAATGTAGGGAACACATGACAGTAAGAGGGGAATCAGAACTGGGAAGGTAACCGGAGCCCTTTGTACACTTAGCCTCGAGTCTACAAAGCAATGAGGGACCCAAGTTGCTCTCTGAGCAAGGGAATGACAGGATAAAAATCTACATTTTTTTCTTTCCTTCTTTGTACTCCTTGCTAACATTCCAGTCATGTAAAGGTTAGAAAAATCTCAAGAGGAATCCTGAGCCATCACACACAGTGGAGGGGTCTAAACCAGTCATTTAAGACAGGCCTAGCACAGCAGGTAGGACACAGGATGGGCAAGAGGGAAGAGGAAGCAGCAGCTACAGCAACTGCTTGAGAGGTAGGGTACGATCTGATCTGAGACCTAGGCAGTAGAATGGATCTCCTATGGAGCTTAGCTTCTTGCTAAGCATATGGCAGCATCACACACACAATCCCACCACATACCCACGACGCTTACAGCAAAAGAAACACCTGATGGTCTTCGAATCCATCTGGGGGGCTTTCTCAGGGGAGGTACCCGTGATGCTTGGGCCACTTGCTCTGGCACCCGCAGTGGTGGGAGAGGCTGGCCTTTGCTGAAAGAAGAGGAAATCTGAGGAGAAAAGATAGCTGCATCACCAGCCTGAAGTGGCAGCTTTGCCAGCAACTCCACCTTCAAACTCCATTTGGGAAGGAACCCTCCAGACCTAGAAAGGCCAGACTCCCACACTGGGGATGGGGACGGGACTGAGAGTGAGGGTGGGACTCCCATACAGTGGGGGCCTAGAAAGCCTACTCCACTCAGGGTCTACAAGGACCACAGGAGCAAGGGAAAGAAAACAGTCCATGTTCCTGTGACAAAGACCTAAGCATAGAGGCTCAATATCCCTGAAATACCTCAGGAACATCCAGTAAAAGAATCAAGGTGAAGGTCTCCTTCACATCATGTCAGACATCCTCCCAGGAAGATGGGCCCTGGAGCAAAGCACAGCCCTCCAAAGCCCAAGGCTCTGGTCTCATTCATTTCCCTACTTCTGGACATTCGTTTCCCTACTTCTTCCCAGGCCATGTGTTTTTCTCCTTCCCCCAAAACACAGGTAGCCCCTTCCCTCCAGCACTTTACAACCTTATCAGCCTGTCTCATATGCTGGACTTCCCAGCTCCAACCCATCACAGAGTACAAACTGATCCATCCATCAAAGGAGGCAACAGAGAACACTGAAGGGTCCCGAGGGCACCACTGCACATCGAAACACCAGCTGCTCCGTGTGGACAGCTTATCTACCACCTGAGAAGACAGAGCCATTAGGGACTACAGAGTCCAGGAGACCCTGCCTTGGTTAAGGCAACCCAAACACATAGCAGGTGTCCCTCTCCTATCTCATTTCCACAGCACTGGGCCCACAGAACAGTCACCCTACCTCACTGCTCCCCAGGTTCCAGCACAAGATCTGGTTGTCCTTGGCACTACTGAGTAACAGCTCAGCATCAACCTGGTTCCATGACATTGACAAGACCCCCCTAAGAAGAAAAATAAAGAGCAATTAATATTTGCTAAATGTCTACTCAAAAAGTGCCTGATGTATCTCCCATAAGTCTTAGGGACCAGTGGGTGGTCTGATTTCATTACAAATGAAGAAAATTAGGCTTTGAAAAATTAAATAATGTTCAAGAGCTCCACAACCAGAAACCAAGTCACACTCCAGGGAGCTGCAGACTCTGCCTGCACAGATCACTGCTGGAAGGCCTGCTTTTCAACAATTAGAGCAGGATCATGAATTCATAGGAAGCATGCAAACACCCATCCCTGTGGTGCTTTTAGTGAAGGCCCAACCCTCAAAAGTCCCCAAGGAGAGAGAAAGGCAACATGGCCTTTTTGTTAAAAGAACAGCCCAAGAGCTACAGCTATAGAGGCAGAGCTGGTCACTGGACCATAGGTGCCAAGCTGCTCTGCAGGAGAAGTCTTGGAGGAAGTTACCTCATTATTCAGACAAATGAGCATTCTCTCAGATCAGAGCATAGGGACCCTCCCAGGGGGATGCCTACTCTGGCTCTCAAGTATCTTCTTCACGACCCAAGTGGGGTAACAATGGGAGGCAGTGAGATCTCTAAGAGCTGGCCATACCCGGAAGTCTCTGGGCGCTTCATGTGCCTGGAGGGGACTGTGGAACACCAGCTCTTCCTCATTCTCCCTCGTTCCCTGGCCATGAGGTGAAAGGTCTTGCTCTGCCACAAGCCCCTGCCACAGTGTGCTGCCTCACCACAGGCCCAAAAGCAACTGGGTTAATCAGTTATCAACTGAAACCTCCCAAACTGTGAACTCAAATACATGCTCTCCTTTTTAAGCTATCACCTCAGGTATTTTGTTATAGTGATGACAAGCTGACTAACACAGGAATGAAGTATGGCCTCAAGTACTTCTCACAACCCCATCCTCACTCCCTGACAAAAGGTGGAATCACAGGTTCTTCTCTATAACTTCAGGTCTCAATGAACTCATCTTGGTTAGAGCTGGAGATAGCACTGGCCATGTGTTCACTGCAGTGGCCTGGAAGCCAGGATGCTTGGTAGCTAAAGTGAGACTTTCACTGTCTCTATGCTGGTCACTTGCACCAAGATGGGGGTGGGTTTTGAGATCCTACCTGCTGTGGCTGTCTAGCACCTTCAGAGGTGAGGAGGCAAAGCGCAAATCCCACAACTGAATCACTGGAAGACGGTCATCCTCTGAGCACAGCACTAACTGGGTGGCTACATCTGGGTGCCAGGCCAGACCTGAGCACTGCATCTGCAAACAAAACAGATCCCAATGGGTGATGTAATCTGACTCTCCTGGTTTTTCTTCCCAGTTGGAATGGGACCACTTTGAAGGCAGGTTTTGTGTCTCTTCTTTATGACTGGGAAGAGCACAGCCATCACTCTTAACAGGAAATCTCCTGAGAGGCTGATCCCACATATCCCGCAGCTGGAAATGGAACCCTGGAAGAGGCAGAACAGCTCTAACTGCTTGGCTTAAGAGAAAAGGCAGAGCCCAGGCCTGTGCCCTGGCTTCCACTCCTCACCCTGTTTCGGTGGTCACTGACTTTGATGATAGGCTCGTTCTTCCTGAGATCCCACACAACCGCCATGCCACTAGGGTGAGCAGAAGACAGAATGTGCTGGACTTGCCGGTTCCAAGAGAGCGCCCTGACGTCTTCTGAGGGCTGCAGCGGCAGAGCAATAGGAAGAACAACTCATCATCCCATGGACCAAGTGGCATCTGCTAGTCCACTGCTTCCAACCCTCAGAGCAAGCTCAAGAGTACACCTGGAGCTCCCCACACTAACACAGTCTTAGGGAGGTAGGGCTGGATTTTCCCTGAAGATCCTTTAGGGTCCCATTGTAGAAGTAGGGGAAAAGCAGGCATACTTGGGTTTTATTCCTATCCTAAAGTCCTCCAGAGAGGATACAACCACCATTCAAAAACAGTCCTCTTGTCTAGGATAAAGAAAGAGGGACAGAAGGAGGAAAATGAAAGAGCAAGGGAAACATAGATACCCGAGCCCCAGATAAAGTGAGACAGAAGGAAAAACCAAGGTCACTTTCAGAGTGTGAGGTTCTATAAAATTTATATCTAATCTACCTCACAATACTGTTAAGTATAACAGAAAGGCCAGAAAATTTTTTAAAAATAGGCCATTAGATGGACAGAAAGGTACACTCAGAAGACACACCAGACCCGAACTGCATGGAAGTAACCCAGAGACAACATGAACTCCTCCCACACAGATGACAAGGGTATGTTCAGGGTCTCCCCTGAGCCCAGGGCTGTAACCAACCCTGACCAACCTACACTGTGATAGCAGCACTTCCATTCCTTTTTCAGTGTCCTTTGTTTTCCTTGCCCTTTATCTTCCTGCCAGAAACTCAGAACAGCTAAAGACTACAAGCCAACATTCCTCACACAGCCCCACTCACACCTTCTGCCCAATCTTGCTAGTAGCATGCTAATCTGTGAAGTTTTATTGCCCTCCAGTGGTAAAGCCTGAAATCTCTTGTTCTCTGGCTGGATCTAAAATTCAACACTAGGCCTGGGAAAATCAGCTGCACACCCTCAGCAGCAGCCCACGTTGGGGAAAGGGCAGTCCTCACCTGTAACTTGGATCCTGGAGTCATTGGAACACTCAGGTTACTCAAATCCCAAATGAAGATTTCAGAATCACTGGCCCCTGAGGCCAGGAGGTTGCCCTGTACAAATAAAAGACATTTGGAGACACCCTATCCCAGAGAGATGTGATCAGCAATGAGGTAAAGAGGCCCACATGTGGGACACCCAAAGCCTCCCCTGACAGAGCTTGGAAAGGTTCACAGGCCACACGGTAATGCTTCCATTCAGATCTGCTGCTCCACTGCCTGGCTGTATTTGATCAGCTAAAATGTAGTACCTGGAAAGGATTGAAGTCAAGGGCTCTCACAGCCCCTGTGTGCTTCTGACTCTGGGCAACGACAGGCTCTTTTCCTGAAGACAGGATGTGAGTCACATTGTATAGAGTGAGCATGCCATTATCCCCGCCGCCTGCAATAACCCCGGAGCTCTCCAGAAGTCCACTGCCAAAGCTTCCCCAAGTCAGTTTGTGAAACCTACAAAAAGGGGGAATTGGCATCAGTACAATCTTAAGTCCATGTCACGAGCAGAGGATGGGCATCTTTGTCAGCCTCTGCCATCATGTAGGTATCCCACCCCCATGCGACCTGCCTGTGTGTCATTTCCTAAGAGGAGGGTGGTCTCTTCTTCCTGGCCCTGTCCTTACCTAAAGGAACAGTCAGTAGTGTTACATGATAAGTCAGGAAGCCATTGCCTCTGAGCTGTTCTCAGTTTTTTTTAACTTTAGGTTATAGGGGACTTGTGATCATGACTTCAAATAATTAACCTTCATAAGTCAAACAGGTGAGAACAACACCGACCTACACTTCCTAACAGCATACTCATCATGAGTACTTTGCATGTATTAGCTGATTTAACATTTTAACAACTCTCTGAAATATTACTATTTTCCCCATTGTCATCTAAGGGAACAGTAGCTCAGGGAAGTTACAAAAATTTTATACATAAGAGGTAGTAATTTCATCCTTTTTAGAGCTATGAAGTGGCAGAGTCAAGGTTCAAAGTCAGGGCAGTCTGACTGAGCTCTTACGTCTGAGCTCTTACGTCTTAAAATACTGCCAACCATTGAGAGAAAGACCCACTCTCTCCTGTATTGATAAGAAGCAGCCTCTCTAGGCAAACAGTTACTGCCCCCTTCTCCATTCATGCTGGAATGAGGCAAAAAACCAGAATGGGACCTCCCTGCCACATACCTCTCCTATGTGGCTGCCACAGGCCAGCTCTAGAGACAGGGAGGCATGAAAGGGTAAATGCCTCCAATTAGATAACTGGCTTTGAGGATGTGCTTAAAAAAAAAAAAAGACTGACCCTGGCCCCTGCAGAGGGGGTAGGGTTCCCTGCAAAGGCAGGTATGTGAGCTCCCTGAAGCCTGACAGCATGAGTCTATCTCCCACTGCACAGCTGCTAGCCATGGATATTTCCACAGCCCTTCAGAAGATGCCAGATTTCACACTACATGATGTCACAAGACCCCTAAGTGTAGTGAAATATTCCCACACACTGGAAACAGCAAAGAAGATGACCAAGTAGGAATCTCACTGTCAGGCATCCACAAAGAGCCACCCTAGGGGCCGGGGATATAGCTCATCAGCACAAGCGCCTGTCTGGCAAGTGCAAGGTCCTGAGTTCCATTCCTGGTACAAAAAAAAAAAAAAAAAGCCAGGCGTGGTGGTGCAGGCCTGTAATCCCAGCACTCAGGAGGTTGAGGCAGGAGGATCATTGTGAGTTCAGGACCAGCCTGGGCTACAAAGTGAGCTCAAGGCCAGCCTGAACTGCATGGAGAGACCCTGTCTGAAAAAAGAAAAAAGAAAAAAGAGCTACTCTGCCGGGTCTATGAGCTGAGCAGGTCAGAGGAGGGCCAGCAGCTGAGAAGGGCAGAGCTGACAATGGCAGCTCCAAGGCTACATGCAAAAGGCAGCTTTCTAAGGTTGCACTGACTTTTCACGTGGCAGAAGGAAGTGTCTATACTGGCTCAAGAGGTTGCCATGTCATTCATGGTGACAGCAGAGGGCAAGCCATGAAAGTAAGCAGAGAAGCTTACAGCAGATCATAGGAACCAGAAGAGGATATAGCCAGAAACAATACTCGCAAGAATGAAGAGGTCAAGCTGACCTCAGTATGGTCAGAGCACATGGCCTGTATACAGAACTGAACCCTCAAGGGGGAGTCAGCAAGGGGTTAGAGATGAGGGTGCTTATGTCACAGGAGCTGAGCTGCAGAACACCAGGCGTGACTAAACAGCTTTCTTTCTATATGCGTGCAGAAATATGTTCCCATTACTCGTCACCTCACACACGAGGGGAGGCTGGTAACTGCAGAAGCTGTGGCAGGGAGCACCTAAAAAGTGGGAGCACTGGGTTGAGTTAACAAGGAAGGAGATGGTCTTCGCTGGAACAAAATTCCAAACACTTGCAACTACAAGAAGTAGAGGTCTATTTTGGCTCACATTTCAGTCCATGGTCAGCTGGCTCCAACGCTGGATAGCGTGGCAGAGGGGCCTGAAGGACAGCTGCTCACCTCCTGGCAGTCAGGAGGCAGAGGGCTGGGAAGGCAGATGGATCTTTCCAAGCCACATCCCCACCGACCACCTCTTCCATCCAGACCCCATCTCCTAATAAACAGCACAAGTCAGCTCCACTGCCCCATAATACAAGTCACCTCCAAGCACATGAGGCTCCAAGCGCTGTTTTCAATCCAAAACCATAACAGACTTATCACTCAGTGGGCTCAAGACTGTCAACGATCTCTGGCCTGCAAATGGATAAAAAATGAGAGACAACCATTTGGGGCACAGAGAGAGGGGAGTGACACAACAAAATGTTGACGAATGATGTATCCAAGTGAAGGGCATGTGATTGTTCATTGTGGTCTTACAATCTTTTGTAATTTTCCTTTTGTGTGTGTGTGGTCCTGGGGGATCAAATCCAGGGGTTTTCTACCACTGAGGTATATCCTCAACCCTTTTTCAAAAATTATTTTTTATTTTGAGAGGGGCTTTTACTAACTTGTCCAGATAAGGCCTGAGTTTGTAATCCTCTGGCCTCAGCCTCCCAGAGTTCTGGAATTACAGATGTGTATCACTGCACCCAGTTTTTTCTTGTGGCAGTATTATAACCTTACTTTTTAAAAATTCAGACTTAAACTGGGTGACACACACCTGTGATCCCAGCACTATGGGAGGCTGAGACAGGAGGATGGAAAGTTCAAGTCCATCCTATGAAATTTAGAGACTCAGTAGGACTTCAACTCAAAAAAGGGCTGGACATATAGCTCAGTGCAAAGGGCCTGAGTTCAGTTCCCAGTACCACCAAAAAAAAAAAAAAGAAAGACTTTATCCTAAAAATAAGAACAGAGAAATTTAAGGAGAAGGTATAGGAAAAAGAGTTAGGAGTTTGTCTAGGAGGGTAGAAATTGTGTGTGTGTGTGTCTGTGTGTGTCTGTGTGTGGTTTTTGAGACAGGGACTTGCTCTATATTTCAGGCTAGCCTTGAACTCACTACGTAGACCAGGCTGAACTTGAACTCACAGCGATCCTCCTACCTCAGTCTCCCAAGTACTGGGAGTACAGGCGTGCACCCCCACACCTGGCAGGAATTTATTTTAAACATGAGAATACAGGTGGAATTCTTTGCTAGAGGGGTTCCAAGGATAACAATAGCAGCAATACAGACAATATAGCACCGTGGAAGGATGATGGTCTGAGGCATGGGTTTGGTGAAAAAGGCAAGTAGTGGAAGGAAGATGATTTTGATAAGCATACGTAATTAGTAACAAAGAAACACAGGAAGAGGTTAAAAGAGAAACAAAGGAAAGAAGCTAAGACTATATAAAAAAGAGAGGACAGATTAAATGTAAGAACTGAATTTGGGTCTCTGCAGGTTCTTAAAAGTCAGTCTCTGACTTCTTCATACATGCAAAAACCTAAGACACTGACTTAACTTACACAAACCCACAGATCTACTGGCCAACAGTATATCCCAACACAATGGAAAATCCAAAGAGATGAAAACCACTGCAAAATAAGGGATGCTGTCATCAAGCAACACATGGGCTCAAAAACAAGCAAACAGTAACCAACATTTTATTATTAGGTTAAACCATGAAAAGAAAGAAGACAGTATTCTGCTTAAATATTTAATCTCTCAGAGGGACCAAGAAAGACACAAGGAGCCATCCATCATCTGCTGGAAGGCCACCTTCTAGGCCAATTATCTCTAAAGTAGGATAGACAAGATCATTCACTGGACTCTAAGAAAAAAATATATATATTCAATCTGAAAAATTATAGAAAATATACTTTCTTAATAATATAGTAATATATGTTTTTTTATATTGAATATATAATGAGTATAATGCATATTTATATTTTATCTAATGATGTAAATATCTACAGACTATTGCTTCAGACTAAGTCTCACCTTTAACAAATCTTTAAAAAGGCAGTGGAAAGAAGGAAGCTTTGGACTCAAGAGTTTCAGTTCCCTCCCATGTAAAATGGAAACAGTGGTACCTGCCACTTAGGCTTATTTTTAGGAATAAAATGCACAGGGTCCTGAGTATAGTGTCAAGCATACACATACAACTGTTCACTAAACAAGAGGACCTGGACTATCAAGGCTTACAACGCCTCCTAGTATTTTCTGCTAACAAGATAGCGTATCAACAGTCCTGTCTTCCTTGCTATTATACTCCAAAATCCATGAGTACCCAGCCTGCCAGAGCCATGAACTCCACAAGCACCCAAATAATGCCTAACAGCAATGAGAGGCTCATTTGTTCTCCTCCTTGCTGGCAGAAAAAGGTGATACTATGTAAGGTTGTTAGCTCCATCTTATATACAAGGGGACCTGGGATACAGCTCAGTGGCATAAGTGCCTGCCTGGCAAGCACAAGGTCCTGAGTTCCATTCCTGGTACCAAAAAAAAGAAAGAAAGAGAGAACAAATAATAATAGTTCTAGGGCCTTAGCTCACTGGCAAAGCACTTGCCTGGCAACCATGAGGTCCTGAGTTCTATTCCTGGTACCACATACCCAAAAAAAAAACAAAAAATGAAACAAAACAAAAAACATTGTCTAGACATTTAGGGCCAGGGATATAGCTCAGTGGCACAAGCACCCGCCTGACAAGTGAAAGGTCCTGAGTTCGATTCCTGGTACCAAAAAAGAGAAAAAAAAGTTACTGTATATACAAGGGGAAGAGCCAAGGGAGGCAGGAAGCAACATCTCTAGGTAAGGGGAGAATGAGTACATGTAGGTTCCAGCTTGAGCAAGGTATCTCTATCGCACACAGTCAGCCTCAGACTGTTGCTACGGCTGCTGACCAGAAAGGTGGAGGTGGTTAATTTTTAAGTCCTTTTATGAAATAAGATTAAAGTTAACTTGTTTCCTACTTGGTGCAGTTCCTTTTCCCCTCAATTGTCATGACCTATACACACTATTCCCAGGATTCTTCACCAGCATCTTCAACGGGCTCTGCCCTGCACACCCATTAACAGTCCAGACAGTACCTGCTTGAGGCAGAAAGGACTCCTCTGTGTTTCAAGTCCAGGGAAGGGTCCCTGAAATCAACCTCAAAGATTTCCAATGTGCCATTTGTGCTAAAGGAGGCATCTAGCTGCTGGGCAGATGTTCCTAGGCACAAGAAAAAGTCAAGAAGCAGCAATGAGCAACAATATATGCAGGTATAAATGGGCTACAAAGTGAAGAGGGAGAGGAGAGTTGAGTACAGTCCTTCTCTCCTTCTCAAAGGGTAACGCTGGGGGCTGGGGATTTAGCTCAGCGGCACAGCGCCTGCCTGGCAAGCGCAAGGTTGTGAGTTCGATTCCCAGTACCAGAAAACAAACAAACAAAATTAAAAATCAAAGGGTAACGCCAAGAGAGGGAGGGAGAGAAGCAGAAGGGGCAGGAGAGAGAGGGAGAGAAAGTGGGGAAGACTCCTAGACTTGAACCATAGTCTGAAGCAACTCCCAAATACCTAAAATTCACTATCCCCTAGCTTATGTTGTGAACTGTCATCACCTTTCTATGGTCCAAATGCTTTGATGTTCAATAAAGAATTTTAGCTGCTAAGACATCCTTCAACCTACGTACTTCTAAAATCACCATACCTGTGGCCAGACACACAGGGTACTGGCTGGCTGGGCTCCACACTTGGACAGCTGGCCGCTCAAGTTTCTTCAGTTTCATGGTCTGTCCTGTAGGTGGCAGAAACCTGACATGGCTCTTGGCCCACGGAATTAACTAGCAAGCTTAAGGATCAGATCCAGAAAAGCATCTGTGGACATGTGATCCTGTTTCCCTCTCTACCACGAGACAGGGCATTTCAGGACAACACAAGAGTGACAAGTACAAGAAATATAAGGACTGTTCATTTACCAGTTACTGAGATCTAATTCTTTAAAACCCAAACAATAGTTAAGCACACTGATTGTCAGGCCCAAAGGTGAGAACCATCGAGCCAGATCACTTCTCAGTGATTCTGTCTATTTCCTTGGCTTTAAATACTGCTCCTATGCTGACAACTCCCATGTTTATAACACTAACATGAATCTCTCATCTGAGCACCAAGTTCTTACATGCACTTCCTAACTAAATAGTTCTTTTTGGATATAGCAAAGACTCCTACTTAGTCTGTCTAAAGTGGAATTTTCTATTCCAGTATCTCTTCCACACTATTATTTTCCCTCCACTTCTCTTCACCTTGCTAAATGGCACCAGTATTCACCCATAAACCTGAGGAACCCTGATCACTCTTTCTCCCTCATCATCATCCTCTTCCAACCAGTTACTTAATCTTCCTCATTTTACCTCAAAATACCTCTTTGTCTACTTTTGTCTAACTCCACTGCCACCAGCTTGCTTGAAAGTACTGGCATATCTCACCTGGATTCTTGCAATAGTCTCCAACTGGTTGTCTCTTTGCTACTCATGCCATCATCCAATTTACTCTCTACATTGAAGCAAGAGTGAAGTTCTAAAATAACAATTATTTGGAAACAAGATCTCATGTCCAAATATTTTGGCATTCCATGCACAAAATATTTCAACACACTCAGAATAAAATTAAAGCTCAGCGTACCACTTCAACTTCATCTCTTACTTTTCTTACTTTCTCCTACAGTAGAGCTTTTCGCAAATCATGCGGGGGAGGACAAGAAAAAAAGGAAAAAATGGCAACAGCTTGAAAGACGGGCTGAAGGGAGGGGTGGGGAAAGGAAATAAAAGAAGGAGCAAGATATATCATGTGCAGATACAAACGCCCTATGATGAATGTGATCACTATGTAGACCTAAAATGTACCAATAAAGTAAAATCCTTAAAAATTACACTGCCTACACTCCCAAAACCCCTCCTTTCCCTCTGACTGGCTCTTTCCGGGCTCAAGGTCTGACTTCTTCCAAGATGACCCACTCAGAAAACCTCACTTTTTGTCTAGCAATTTTATGTATTTACATTTACATTGTTGTTCTCTTGCACTAACACGTGAACTCTTTACGTGCCAGTACTGCCTCTGCTTTGTTTTACCGTAACTCCTGCCCCGCCGGGGGCTGGCGCTCGGCCCCGCACGGCGGACACAGCCTCTGACCGACGGCGCACCACGCAGTCCCCAGCGCCGCCTGCCGGCCGCGGCCCTTCTGGCGTTTCTCGGGAGATGCCGCGAAACAGGAGCTGCGAACAGCGGCTGCGCGTCTGACTCGCGGCTCTCAGCGTGTCTCAGCAGCTCTGCACACTAAGCTCCACTTCCGCCCCAGCTTGTCTGAGAAGACCCCGGCCAGGCGCGAGGCGGACCGGCCGGCCCCGCCCTCTTCGCGGCCGCGGGGACCTCCCCCAGCGTTAGCGACGCGTGGGCGGTCTGGGGCTGGGCCGAATCCCCCGCTCGGAGGCCTCTGCTCTCGGCCGGGGCGCGGGCGCGGTCAGTTGGGGCGCAGACCCGGAGCGCTGCGCCGCAGCTAGCGACGCCCCTGGGCTCTCAAAGCTTCACCCCTACCCTGAGCCGGGGAGCCCACCTGCGCGCCCAGCCCGCACGCCAGGCGCTATGGACGGCGGCTGCCGAGGTCCAAAGTAGTTTGGAGCCGGCGGGCGGGCGGACAACCTGCACAGAGCTCTCCCGAGTACGGAGAGATAGCCGTTTTTAATCCGGCCTCCCTCGCCTGACACGTGTTTGCAGTCCTGAGGCAGAGGGTCAGCTCCTAGACCAGAAATCTATTCACATGAGCCAGGTGCCGCACCAGCCACTAAAAAAGGAAAATACTAATTCAATTCATTATCTAGCTGTTGAAGCGCGGGAAGAGCCAGCCCTCGCCCCAGGGGCTCTCGGCGGAACTGCCTTAGTTGAGCAGGTAAAGCTGTAGGTAAGCGGCGGAGAGCAGTGCACCGGCAACAACACGGAGGCCATACTGTTGGCTAATTAAGGGCTGCGCGTGTGGAGGGGAACTGCAGTGGATCAGGGGCTCCCCGGAGGGTCTCGGCGCCAGGGAGCTGTCACCTAGCGCAGCAAGGCGCCCTGGGTGGCATTTCAGATGTATTTGCGTTTTCCCTACCTGAAGGAAACATGGGGGCGGTCCACGTAGACTGTGGAATACCTATTCAATTCTGCACAGAACAGGTACTGAAAATCACCGGTATGGTTGCAAAAAGGTAATGATTCTATTTTGTATCTAATATGGAAGCTCTTCAAGACAGCAGAACTAGCTAAAGGCAGGGACTCAAATTAGGAGGCTAATAGAACAATCCAGGCATCAGGCAATGAAGGCTTGCAAAAACAGAATGTGATTATGAGCAAGAGCTGCACAAGCTCTTACAACTGATAAAGGTAAGGAATTCACGATTATTACGGCCTTCAAGGTAGGAGACTAAAAAAATACTGGTGCTACAGATGGAGCTACAGAACTTGAGGATGTGGGTAGGGGATATGAAAATATCACTTTTTACGTTGAGGCCATTATGGTATTTCCAAATAAGTGTATCTTGTGAGCAGCTGAAGACCTTGGATCTAAAGTGGTCCAAAAGTTCCACCTCATGCATGAACACAGTAGACTGTAATCCTGCCTGTTTGGACCCCAAAGCTGAAGCCTTGGTTATCTAAAGGTAGAGCCTTTATTTT